AACAATCGGGTGATTAGTATCTGCCAGATGTGCGACAATCGCAGTGGTGCAACTTTTGCCTACTCCTCGACGCGACGAAGTTGGGTGATGCTCTCGTACACGTTCAGCTATACGTCTTGTGGTGCGGCCTAAGTAGCTTGTCCCATAGGAACAAGTGAATTAATACACACAAAAGGAGGTCGCATCCACAGACATTTTATCCCTCAGTCGTAAAGACAGGTGTGGAAGGGAAGAAGATTCATAGCTGTCCTGCGAAATAGGTGTTCTTGATAGCACTTCTGAGTCTTTTACTAATAAGTCTGGCTGTATTATCGCCAGTGAAAAGAAAAGATAGACGCACATTTTTCTTTTCTCCTGTATATATTTTACGCCTCGCAGATCAGACAGCTTGTTTCTGTCAGTGAATGACTCGGGGTAACCATTGTAAAGAAAGAACTCCTTTATTTTAACACGCTCTTGTGCAATCGTATCTTCCGGGCAAATTTTCATTGCAGATACTAATAACCCGATTGTTATGACAAAGGCATTCCGTTTGATCTATCGCATGAGGGGAATCCGATCCAAATTGTTCAAATGCCGCATACTTGCAATGGCAGAGGCGATCGCCACCCGTCTTCACCACCCTCCTCTATGCACGCACAAACAATTTGTGAGGACTCTCGCTCTTCCTTTGCCAGCTGTCGCACACTCAATCGTGTGAACCAGTCGAAACACGCATGTCACGTCTACCTCCTACTCCAATCCTAATACGTGCTTTAACCTGTTTTATATTAGCTATTTAAATGTGTTGTTCTTAGCCTGATGATGAATCACCGACAACGAACTTGTTTATACTGGCTTTTAATGAGTATCACAGGAATTATTCACCATCTGAAATGTTCTCCTCTAGACACGCGTAAATAAAGTTAACAGTCTCTCATGGGAACTATCGTAAAAGGTGTTTTCACGTATAGGTCTGTTTGTTCTACAAAACTAACTGTATCCCTTACAGTTTGGACTGTTAACGCTCCCTAGGGGTTCGAGCAATTCAACAAGCCTCTTGGCAACTGAGTGGGCGGCTGAGCTTGACAAATCGATGATCAGTTGCATTGATACATTGGGCTTATGCACTTTTGCTAGTCCATGGAGGCGTGGTGGATGCGAGCCACACGGTGTCAGATGTTCGACTGAATGGCCATCAACATATCCTCCGCAGTTCATTTCCTTCAGTAATTTGGCGAGTTTAATTTCATCATTCGCGGTGCTACCCTTCTATGTCGAATCAAGCGTGAGTTTGATTGTGCACGTGAAGAATAGCGTGCATCTTTCGCATGTAGTCTGATTTGTTCATCCCTACCCAACTCTGCACTCCGAGAGCCCTGGTTCGTGCCTGCGTAGGGACCGGGCAACTCTCGCAGTATCCTTAACCCAATTGCGACTGGCAGCGAAGCGTCGGTACTGCGTACCGGCGTACTGCTGATGGCAGGAGATAATTAAGTCAGGATTATGTCATTACTTTTATGGCTTTCCGGTGTTCGTTAATGATTGACAGAACTATAGACCGGCTTCATTGGCCTTGTTTTTGAACTGTTATCTAATCATTAGCACCCCAATTTTGGTTAGCTTCCTTGTTTGCTCAATCTTCCTTTTAAATGTAAATGTCTGATGAGAATTATCGAAATGAGCGCTCTTCGCAAGTCTACGTGGGCATAATGCATGCTTTACCACGATGTTAGCACGTCACTGCTCAGTAGTACTAATTCAATGATATTTTTAGTTCTTGAGACATGAGTACGCAATGGATCGCCTTAACTCTCTCTGAGTTCACATTGGGTACATGTCCGGAATCGCTTACACTTGTATGGATAATTATAAGTGTTTATTACAAGTGGACATGGAATGTCAATTTTGTCTAGGTACCGCTAGCTTCGAACACACTGGGGGCGGATTTGTTGTTTGGTGCCCTCTTCTGTATAGCATTACGTTTCAGTATACGATCTCTATATAGGCTCCTACTTGTTTTGCTCCTCGTACCTCGATCATAACCATATTTCAGTTCGCTGTTGACCTCTGCTCTACTTTTACCGGCAAGCGATTCCCTTGGTTGGCAACGCGCGTCACCTCCACGTACAATGAGAAAACAAAATATTTCTCAACCCGCGTTCTTCATTTCGCCCAAGGGCTTCGATTTTTCGTTGAATACGAATTCTACACCCTGTGTATTACACACATACTTGTGTTTGTAGCTTTCTTGATTGTAACGTTGCGTGGAGCTAGATACCCGGATGATCGATGAGTCTACTATAGTCCAGATGAGTTATACATAATAGTACTAAGCTAAATACTACCGCACGGCTGTCTGACACGAGTTAAAACGGAGTCACTGCGGTCGTTGCCGTCCCCCGTAACTCAGTGGTACTAACCACAGACTGACAACCGTCGCATTGCTGGTTTGAGCCCTACAGCAGTCACATGGAATGCGCACTGCTGACGATTCCCGGATGGATGAACCAGCCGTATAGTACTTTTCTGGATGTGTGATGGCTGTCTGATTGGCTTGATATGTGATGAACTTCTCCGTATAGCCTTCAACTCCTGCTACTCTTTTGCAAAACGGGGTTTGTAAAGTAACGGAGTCGAAAAGAGCATCGAGTAATTTCCGCAGTCTTTCCCAACTGGTCCTCGCACCGGGTTCCGGGATCGCTGGACTCAATACTGCAACCGGTGCCTGCACTGGTTTCCCAACCCACAACAGATCACTTTCAAGAGCGTTTCTGTTCTCCTATCACTGTGACTTTTCAGTTGTTGCGGTGTTCGTCGAGCTAGACAACTTAATTTTAGACATTCCATCACCATTCGAGATGATATCAGTTATGGCTGTTTCGTAGCAGAAGCTGGTGGAAGGCAAATACAAGAATGCATTTACCCCTGAGTTACCAGTATTTCAATTAATTTCGAGTAGAGTCTCTTCGAGTTCTGGTTGCACAGGTTGAACCACGGCAAAGTGACGTTAGTCTCCTAACTGAATCTGAGGTCCGGAGATGCTATCATGACATTCAGTCATTTTTGGCTTGTTAGTCAAGATTCTTTCAGCCTCTCGCTATTTCAAGTTGTTGGGGAATTCCCCCGTAAATAACTAGCCTATGTTTTTCGAATAGCTATGGAAAGAGGATACTGTCTCAGCCAATTTGGATAAATAAACCTATGGCCACACTGAAGGTCAGTCGTTCCGCTTACGTTTCACCTTGACATCAGTGCTAGCAAGCTTACCGACCTCCATTCGCGCGCGCCGTCCTAATGTGGAACACGAACTCTAAATGTGAGAGCGACTGGTAGGCTTACGGCCAGAATTGGACTGCGTAGGTTTTATTTTAACGGTAACCACTAAAGGGTCATTTACCACAAGTTTCAAGGGCATATTCAATTCGATCGATCGCTCCTCTCTTTTCGATGTACAGTAAAACCTCACTAAGTTGACCGTTTTTTCTTCATTAATTGTACATTCACCATATAAACCTTATGGATCCAGACCATTGTATGTAGACCACTTTTGGCCAGTCCCTTGAGTGATCAACTTACGGAGGTCTTACTGTATTCGGCCAGATGGGAAATCTCATGCTTTTACTCGAACTCTTAGCGTCCCGTCGGGTTTTACCGCGAATTGCCATGCATCTTTTTGGCGAGAAATAGTGTCCACCAGGGGTATCCCGTTTCCCAATTTGTATTTCATCTCTTTGCGTATGCTATCACGCAGTGTCCGTGCCCCTTTAGTGGATATTGAGATCCTGTCAGGAGAGAAATTGGTTGATCTGTGTTATACGGCAACGTATAACTGTTTGACACTTGTGCGTTAGCATAGCCAGCTGTGGATAGCGTCCTGGAGTTGTTCTACACATTATCATCCGGTTTGCACCCTTGCATTACAAAATACGATTCCATCCAATGATGGTGGGCGATAAGAAACTGGCGAGTTTATCCGTTTTCTTCCTTTGATAGCTATTAACAGCTACGAGCGTGTAAATTCTGGCTTTAGTTCACGTGTTATATGAGTTGAAAATGCCTACCTGACATCTGTAGTGCCAGATGCGGTTTCTATCCGGGCGCGCAATTTATGCATCGTGGACCACAATGCAACTTGGCCCCTTGCATGGAAGGATCTCATGCGCTCTGTGCTGTTTAACCATGATTCATTGTATCTTCTCGCGCGTTCGCATCAATGTGATACACGGATGGATGGATTGCATTCATTTGGCTCATCTATCGTCTAAAGACCTGCGAACGAATTCCGACTCGTTGTCCCCATCAGCATACGCTACCACCCTACTTATGCGTCAGGTACCCGGGATGTGACTAACTCTGAGGGCACTTCGATACGTATATTGCGTTCGCCTCAACATGCACTTCCTCGAACGATTGCTATCAATCATTTCGACGACATGACTGGGTCATCTTTGCATCAAGCCAACGCATTCACTCTAGCACCATTGTTACGGTCCAATGTTCCATTTTGCTGAAATCCACCCTGCTCCATTAGCTTTATTCTTGCAAAGTTTTCTGCGTGAAATCCTCGACTTGTCATAGAGTATTTTGCCACCGTTGAATCTATCAAGCTTTATACTCTGCTGCAAACTGTTATTAGGAACTTCACTCGAACCTTCGCCCACAGCTTCTTTTCTTTTTCGACGTTGTGGCACGAGTTGATAACATTCTAGTTCCAGTCAGTTTTTCATTTCACTCAACGCCTTATTTTGCTCTTTTATTTTATGTAAAAGCATCGTGTTTTCACTAAAGTTCTTGCGGTTTCTTGTGCACTCTGGTTGCTCTTCAATGATGTTAGCTACTACTGTGTTTTGTTTGGAGTATGAACTCACACTAGCATGTTTCTATGGTAATGGACAACGTCAATTCCTGCTTTGCGCTGTCCGCATTCTTGTGATTTGCATCTATCCCGTTCTGTTAATAGTTAAATTGCATGTTTCTTGGCAAACAGTTCCGTCTCCGTTTACCTCCACTTCACGCAGGTCGCTGGTGACAGTGTTGACCAAACCATAGCTTCGGATGAAAGTCTCGAGTTGGATCATGTGGAACTGGTGAAACGCCCGCGTGATATCTCTTGACCGTCACACTGATCTCATTATCCACTTTTGTTTTTCCTGATGCTCCCGTACGGTTACTCCTCTTCAATGGACCAATTAATTTTTCGGGAATTCTTCCAACACTATATTCGTCCTAGTTTGATTCGATTATTTCGGTTGATCTAATGCGACCACAACCCTGTTCCATTTTTCGGACTTTCATTGTTACCTTCTTCCTGCACCAACATACATGTGTAAGTCTAATCAGTTCAGCACTTATTTTCTTCTCCATGTTCCTCAACGCGATATGAGGTGCTATACTCATGGGACCAGTGCAGCATTCTCGCCGCTTAGTGCGTTGGCTTGGATCGATAGAGTGCAGTGCTGGACAACACGATGTACCCACCACAATTAGACTGAACCTTAACGTGGTGCGCTGGTTTGTGCATCTCTTTGACCCATTAAGCTATACTGTGCAGTGCCCCTGGATCTATTGAGAGATACTCCTATCAGTTTACTCAGTAGTTAGAAGTCAGACAAACTCAGGCTCACCGTTCTCCAGGTTAGGATTCGAAAGGAGTTGGCATTTGGCTCCCTGCCATTCTCCTGCTGCTTTACGTATAGGCTTTTGAGCCAAAGACTGGTTGAGGACCCTAATCGTTCTCCTGTCTAGGCCTGGCCACCATGGCAGTATCTCAGCCCACGTACAAACATGACTGTTTCCCCAAACTCCAACCACATCCTGCATCGGCCGCTTTTCCCTACATACAACAAGGCGGACAAACGAAAACATGCTACTTCTGGCGCATCCCTCCCTTTCCATCCATTTCTCTTACTCTCCTCCCAAACCTCATTACTGGCCTTCCTTCCTTCATTATCAGCTTAATTGACAGCAACTGAAGCTCCATTGCAGTTCTACCAACTGCAGCTATCTTCTCCTAATACCCGCTGGACGCCAATAGCCAACAGCCCTTTTTGCTAGTTCGCGTCGGGCGAATGTGATAGCGAGCTCAAGTTAGGGTAACAAGCTAGGGAAGTCTGGGCTGCGGTTGGTTAGGGTGCGTTGGCTAGTAGTGGAGGTGTGGGAAGTTAACTTGCTATCCTAAATCAAGGGAGGTCAGAGAGGTGTGGTCTCTACTACAGTAATCAAATTGAAGTGGCTTAGTGTGGTAAAGCAGATCTTCCAAAAGTGGAATGCTCGGTTTTGTAGGTGCCGATGAGATAGTGTTAGAACCACTTATCGATGGTAGGAAGAAATATGGAAGTTAGTGTATTGAGTTCCTAACGTGTCGAAGAGGATCACTCAGAGAATTCGGCAGCAGCATTCTTCACGGGTGACTCAGTTAATTTCTGAAAGCTCAGTGGCTAAAATAAGACAAATGTTCAAATATACTACAGGCAGTCTGAGAATATAGATCCAGCAGCAACCCTCTTTGCCGCATCGATGCACGTCTGAAGGAAACTCGACGCGTTCTTTCTAAACTGAAACCGTCCAATCGGCACGCTGTGTTGGAGAGCAAGCGTCCATGGACTGTGCGTGCACTCAGCATCACACTTATCTCTCGGTCAGACCGCATGTGAAGTGTAGACTCGACGGCAAACTGCACCGGCTGAGGGCCACTCTGATGCGGAGAATCAGCCGACCTCATTACCCAAAGTACACGATAACCAGACTCTGATTCGACCGCGGACGGACAGGCAAACCACTAACTGAGGTCAATGAGAGGGCAACGTGTGCTGACCTCACCAGTGTAGAGCGAGGCTGGCCACAAAATCAGTCTATTTGCATATGCTTTGTTTCAGCCTCCGAATCGCTGAAGCCTCAGCAAACTGAAGCAGACGAATCTCTTTGTTTGATAATTACGTTGAACGATCCACGGGGGTTTTGGCACGCAGAGTAATCGAGTATGTGGCGGGCAATCGAACTGGTAGGTAGCTTGGGGCTCTTTGCGACCATGTTGGGGGTAACGTGCTCTGGGATTCTCGCTGACAGCCTTCTCTCAGTTCGGCCACGGAAGTTGCTACCATAAGTACAGTGGAAGAGCTAAATAGGTAAAAGTGAGCATTTGGTATGCGAGGCTGAAACTTGGTAGTTTCCAGTTGTCTCATAAAATGTGAACGAGGATATATCGAAGGAGATCATGTTTTCCGCGAACGCTTTAATTCATTATTCTATCAACAAGCGTGTCTTGAGGCTGTAGTCGGCTAGTTCACTTCGGATAGGCTCGATTACATTGGCCAACTTATGATACGGTGCGCCAACCACTGAAACAATTGGTCGTAAGGGGATGCCTTACTTATCGACTTTATTCGTGCGATGGCTCGTGCTCTCTTTTTCTTAGGAACGTCAGTTGATGGTTACTCCTTTGGTTTTGCGTGCGCATGCCGTGTTACAAATCGCTCGGGATATCCGTTCTCCTTACGTCACCACCAACTTGAAGCCTTGCCACCAGGGCTCAGTTTCACTATTCCACCAAATCACTGTGGTAGAATAGCACTCGAGGCTCAGTTTGCACATTTAAGCGAACATCTTCCCAGTTGAACACAGACCATTGAGAAGATAAGCGGTTGCTTTACAGCTAAGAGGGTACAACTTGCCAACCAGTCCTGCGCTAGTGACCTCGAGAAGTGCCGTACATCAACGCAATTGCGACGCAATGAAAAAGTTGTAATACTGAGACAATATGGGATCAGGTGCAGTCATAACAAAAAACAGGGCTAAATCCAGAAAATGCAAACATCTCTCGCAGGCTATTCGCTTCGTTCGTGAAGTGACTGGCAACGATAAAATCGAACAGGTTGCGAAACCAAAAGTTCATGAACTAAACACCCTAATGACGGTGGGATGGATTCACGCAAAAACCCTGACACAGCCGAGCATCTCGGCTTCCTTATATGTACGAACTACTGAAAACCCCTTGCGTCTAATTGTTTCAATGGTTGGTGCACCGTATCATAAGTTGGCCAAATGCCTGACCAATGTAATCGAGTCTATCCGAAGTGAACTAGCCGACTACAGCCTCAAGACACGCTTGTTGATAGAATAATGAATTAAAGCGTTCGCGGAAAACATGATCTCCTTCGATATATCCTCGTTCACATTTTATGAGACAACTGGAAACTACCAAGTTTCAGCCTCGCATACCAAATGCTCACTTTTACCTATTTAGCTCTTCCACTGTACTTATGGTAGCAACTTCCGTGGCCGAACTGAGAGAAGGCTGTCAGCGAGAATCCCAGAGCACGTTACCCCCAACATGGTCGCAAAGAGCCCCAAGCTACCTACCAGTTCGATTGCCCGCCACATACTCGATTACTCTGCGTGCCAAAACCCCCGTGGATCGTTCAACGTGATTATCAGTTTGCCGAGGCTTCAGCGATTCGGAGGCTGAAACAAAGCATATGCAAATAGACTGATTTTGTGACCAGCCTCGCTCTACACTGGTGAGGTCAGCACTCGTTGCCCTCTCATTGACCTCAGTTAGTGGTTTGCCTGTCCGTCCGCGGTCGAATCAGAGTCTGGTTATCGTGTACTTTGGGTAATGAGGTCGGCTGAGTCTCCGCATCAGAGTGGTCCTCAGCCGGTGCAGTTTGCTGTCTATACCATTTCTCGGCCAAGTTGTCGTCTTGGGCAACAGAATTAATCTGAGGGGGCATCCAACATGAGTCTACTCAATTAATTTGAGCCGTGCGTACGCCACTTACTTGTGCAAGTGTGTAGGTGTGCGTGTATAGCCCGTCGACATAACTGTCCACGACCAACTGGACGAGGCAAGTTAGGGACTTTGGTATCCGATGGCAACAACCTGTGTTATGCACAAGAGACACTGATAAGTGTCACGAAATCCTGTGCTAGGTTGCAAGGATAGTGTGTAACTGATGTAACACGGATGCAGCAAATTCCTCATCCTTGCTACTTGGGGATCGTGCTACTGTGCCATCGCGTTGTAACGAGATGACGCAACCAAAAACGCAGACATCTCCAAGTAGCAAGGATCAGAAATTTGCTGGTTCCGTGTTACGTCAATCACACACTACCCTTGCAACCTAGCACAGGATTTCGTGACACTTATCAGTGTCTCTTGTGCATAACACAGGTTGTTGCCATCGGATACCAAAGTCCCTAACTTGCCTCGTCCAGTTGGTCGTGGACAGTTATGTCGACGGGCTATACACGCACACCTACACACTTGCACAAGTAAGTGGCGTACGCACGGCTCAAATTAATTGAGTAGACTCATGTTGGATGCCCCCTCAGCTTAATTCTGTTGCCCAAGACGACAACTTTGCCGAGAAATGGTGTAGTCTGCACTTCACATGTGGCCTGACCGAGAGATAAGTGTGATGCTGAGCGCACGCACAGTCCATGGACGCTTGCTCTCCAACACAGCGTGCCGATTGGACGGTTTCAGTTTAGGAAGATCCATTGAACAGTGCTTTTCAAGTCAATTTGTTCTACCCTTATTTTACCCTTGATCGCGGCGCTGTGCTTGAGCAGCTGCAATCCGCGACATTCATGAAATCGGCTCATCGTGTCACAGTAGCTAGCCTCGGTAAAGTAAATAAGTAGACGACCTGACTCCACCTTGTTACACTGGATTATTAACTGAGTCTGGTGGAGACTTTAGCAATGTGAACTGGGATACGTTCTCTCTAATGTTGCGAAGAATGAGCTGGGATCTCTGCTTTTTCACCAGAGATCTACAGGTTGCAGCAAACGAAACTTTCACAAATGTTCAACCTTTTCTTCATATCCTTATTCCATTCGTACTGAGACCGAAAGTTTTCCGTGAAAAATACGCGTGAAGCATGCCTACTGCGTAAACTAAAAATATTACATTAAAAAATAAGACAGACTCGCGGCTTCTCCTTGCTTATCAGTCAAGATAAACTCTTTGACCAGTTGCAGTCGATTCGTTCCACAAATCTACTAGCGGTGGAAAAGTGAGAATTGACACATGACAATAAATCTAAAGCCTTGGTCAAGCTACTGAAGGTCAGAAACGACAGTCAAACTAAATCGGTATCATAAATCGTACTACCTGAGAGATTCATGACCAAAGACCGCATCATAATAGGAAACGTCATGATTGAACCATTTTCCACTTTGTTTACTACCTCAAGCAACACAAGTAAGCTTAGCACTCTCACCAATGTTTACAACCTGAGAACAGTGCAATTTGATCGCGGTGTCGTTCAAGCTCACTTTGATCGCCTAACGTCTGCGTCTCACCCTGGACCTGATGAGCTCTAATAAAGTTTGGTAG